AATATCACAAAGACTACCCCCTGCAATGCAGCAACACACAATCAAAGCATATCATTACATTAACTTAATATCTCTTTGTAAATACTGTTTTTTTTCCCTTGAGATCATCATATGGAATATATTCACACACTTTCACCAACCGTTAATCAACCAGAACCACAATAGAGTTTGGGGAAAGAACCAATGCTGTCATTCCTTGGATAGGAGGTGTTCTGCATGTGGAACTGGAACAAAATAATAATAATAATAATAATAATAATAATAATAATAATAATAATGCTTTATTTATATACCTCCCTAGGGGACTCAGAGCAGTTTCCACATATACAAAATAATACAAAAACATACAATATAAAACAAAAGCATAGGCATAAACTGTTAACACAACATACACATTAAAATCAATTTAAAACCTGTTCCGCTCTCTTCTTCATGCAAGATTAGTTGCCGGGGCAAATATTTCAATGAGGGGCCTGGACTATTTGGAATTAGCTCTCTTCCCCTCCTTCTGCTCCTATAGGTCCTTCCACCTGCATTCAGAAACCACTACAGAGGTTTGTGAAACTCAGACCTCTGAGGGATAGAGGAGAGAAAGTATTTTAGCACAATATTGAGTTTAATCCTCAGCTAAGTTTCAATTTCTCCTTAATTGCCAGATTTCTAGGCCAAACCTTTGACCCTCGTGTGAGCTCATTTTCCTTCTTAATTGTTTAAATTACCAGGCTGAACTTTTAATTTCCCTATGAACTCATTTCCTCCCTTAAATGCAAGATTTCCAGAATGAAAGTTTAACTCTCCTGTTCTGAACTAGGCATGTGGAAATCTCATTGAGTTTTTCAATTTTCAACCTGCATTCTCTTTCCATTCTATTTAAATATCAGGCTGTGGCACTTTCTTTTTTGTCCTGCATAAATATTTGTGAATAACTCAATTTACATTTGTCAAAAATGTATGACTTTTGTACATATCTTTATAACTGCACATGTGAACACTGATTAAGCATGTTTGTGTATATTTTTCTAATGCAGATATGCATAGAATTGTGCCATTTTCTGCCATGGAAAACACGGCAAGTTCCACAAACGTATATAATTCCAAGCCTTTTAAAATGAGATGTTTTCCATTTAGCTGTCAATTTCAGGTGACACCACATGGACATTTTCTTTTGGGTCTATCAATCCAATCATATTCTTCCCTATCCTTGCCCTGAGCAGTCTCTAAAATAAAATGGCAACCATTTTATAGTTTATAGACAAAGAAAATGTTTTTTAATTTCTTTACAAAAACAAAAGGAATCAATAGCTTAAAATCAACAGATCCTGTCTCATCTTGAAAGCTAAACAGGTTCTGCCCTGTTTGGTGCTTTGATAGAAAACTTGACATATGACTTGAAGGCACACAGGGTTTTTTTTTTTTTTTGGCAGAGACAACTTTTTGGGTCAGAGAAAGAGGCTGTGTTTGCTATGTTGAAATAGTCTTCTTTGTAAGCAATTGTTCTACTTTGGAAACCTGTGGATCAGGGGCCTTTTCATACACATTAGTTTTATCACTATGATTCCATTTTACTGTCATTGCTGCACCCTATAGAATGTTGGGAATTAAAATTTAGAAAGGATCCAGAGCTCTCTGTCTGAGAAATACAGGTTGAATATCCCTCATCTGAAATGCTTGAGACCTGAAATTATTTTGGAATATCCACAATGTGATATCTTGAAGATGGGACCCAAAACTCAACAAAAAAATGTATATTTCATGTAGATCTTAGACATATATCCAGACAGTATTTTTTTACTAATTTTGTATATGAAACAAAATTTATGTACACAGAACCATCAGCCAGTCATGTAAATAATTTTGAATTTTTTAGTATTTTGGACTTCAGAATCCCAGATAAATGATGCTCAATCTGTGTAAAGGGGCCCTCATTTAAACCTATGTATTGCTATTAAATATGAAAGGCCACCAAAGACTCTCATTGTACTGATGTCCACAATTATTTTGGGGTCAATTCCACTGAAGTTAAAATGACTTCTAAATGAACATATACCACATTCAGTTACATGTTACAAATTAACATGGTTCAATGTAATTTGAAAGTCTTGCATTAGACATCTTTGTTCACTACTGACTTACAGGCATGGGCAAACTTTGGCCCTCCAGGTGTTTTGGACTTCAACTCTCAGAATTCTTAACATCCTGTAGGCTGTTGGGAATTGTGGGAGTTGAAGTCCAAAACACCTGGAGGGCTGAAATTTGTCCATGCTTGATTTACAATATAGACCTCTCTGAGCACTGCATTATTCCAATATTGGTATTTCTAATTTGAGTTACTAGCAGCCTTTCCTCATATAATGATGAAATTCAGAAGGTAGTTTTAACAGGAGAATATAAATTCAGAACGTCTCAGGATTTGTGGCAGAGTTGATGTCAGAACTATGGGAAAGCTGGTGTTGCAGATATTGATGGAGAGAAGGGAGTAATCCTTTAACCCTTCAAGAGAAGAATAAAATAGGTCAACAGACAATGGGCCTGCCATTGAGGGCAAAAGGAGTAACTTAAGCTGAACATCACAAAAATCCAAAATCTGTGGTCACACTTTTCTCCCCACAGGCATTGTCACTCTGCTTAAGTAGCCATCGATTCCTGCAGTACAAAGACTAAGAAATCAGCTGAGTGACAGCTTTATGCTCTGTCAAAGTAAATTCATGCTGAGGTGCTGGGCGGAGGAGAGCTGCCCTAAAAATATCAATCAAGAGACAGTGAGGAAATGGACACAAGGACAGTAGTGTTGGTGTACCATTTAAAAAGGGGGAATTTAGCTTTAAGAGCGGTGAAAGTAAAAAACCAGGGGAAGCATAAAATCTGGCTAACACTGAAAAAAAAGAGAAAGAGAAAACATTTACTGTTTGAAGAAGGGGAAAAAACCCAGCATCTCCTTAGACAAAGAATTGCTTTGATGATATTAGAGCTTCTCATGTAAATTAGAATTTGTGTGCTTTCTGTTAGAGGAAAAGAGACAAGCTGAAAGGCATCTATGTCTTATTTTATTAATTCCCTTTTGAAATCATTAGAGCTTACATTAGATGAGTAAGCAAGGTGAGGACTTTGAAGGAAGTAGGGATTATATCTCAGGTGAACAAGGTAGGAAGCTAAGAGATTGGAGCCAGGGAGCAAAGCCAGCTGTTCAATATGCTGACTAAAGTGTGTTTAAGTGGACTTGTTATAGTTATATTTTATAAGATATATAATGAATTCAAAAGAATGATCACATGTTGACTGAGGGTGTATCTGTATTGTAGAATTAATGCAGTTTCATGCCACTTTAACTGCTTTGGCTCAATGTCAGGCAGCAATACTCTTTGACAGGAAAGGCTAAAAACACCATAAAACCACAATTCCCCAACTCCCACCTCGCCCAGTCATCTGAAATGCAATCCGTTATATCTTCATAGTCCTCACCTTGATTATTCTTCTAATTTAGGTTCTAATTATTTCAAATGCAGATCGTACAAAGTGACAGTCCTGAATGTTCATTGACAATGAACCCAAATTGTCACTGCTGGATGGCCACTCTTATTATCCCCCTCTCATTCTTGCTTTAGTAATGGCCATAAGGTGCAACATAGCTAATGTTTGTCACTTATTGCCTGGAGTGACATCAAAAGAAGCATCAGAGTGACACAGAAGAAGGAAAGGAGTCAAGGAAGAATTACCCCTCCTTTCCTCTCTTCTTTCTCCCCCCTCTGCCTCACTGCTCTGACTAGTATAACTCCAGGAAATGGGTGATGGACACTAGCCACTTCATGAGCTCAGGATATTGTGACATAAGAAGTGAGTGCTATCTCATTTCCCCAGACCACCTAAGTCTGGAAAATATGATGGCCACGTAAACAGTTGCAGCCAGTTCTTTCTTAGAATCAGCTGAACTGCTTACATGGGCCCAAAGTTGCAGTTTATTTATTTTTTATTTATTTATTTATTTATTTATTTATTTGGAGTGCTTCTACCTCACCCTTCTCAACCTTCTAGGGGGGACTCAGGGCGGCTTACAAAAGGCACAATTCGATGCCCAACAATTCACAAAATACAATATAAAATTTACAATTTAACATCAACAGTTATTACTAGTTAAAACAATCTAATCAATGCAACAACAGCAATAAAATTATCTTGTGGTCCGTGTTCGCCAATTTATCAATCCATAATCCATCCTGCATTGTCATTATCCTTTCCTATTCTGGTCGTCATTGTCTTTTGTCCATCTGCCAACTTACCCGAAGGCCTGGTCCCAAATCCAGGTTTTTAACTTCCTCCTGAAGGAGAGGAGGGATGTTGATGACCTAATTTCCCCGGGGAGTGCATTCCACAGGCAAGGGGCCACCACCGAGAAGGCCCTGTCCCTCGTCCCCACCAGTCTCACTTGTGATAAAGGTGGGGCCAAGAGCAGGGCCTCCCCAGATGATCTTAAACTCCGAGGTGGGATGTAGAAGGAGATATGTTCGGACAGGTACACTGGGCCGTAGCCGTAAAGGGTTTTGTAGGTCAAAACCAGCACTTTGAATTGTGCTCGGAATTGGATCGGCAGCCAGTGGAGTTGACATAACAGGGGGGTGGTGTGCTCCCTGTATGATGCTCCGGTGAGTAATCTAGCCACCGCCCGTTGGACTAATTGAAGTTTCCAAACAGTCTTCAAAGGCAACCCCACGTAGAGCGCGTTGCAGTAATCTATTCGGGATGTAACAAGAGCGTGGACCACCGTGGAAAATTTGGAGTAAACTGCAACTTTTGTTAATGCAGTTCAAGTCTGCATTAAGCAGACTTGCCCGCTTTAACCCAAATCGGCTGAACCACATTACATTTACAGCTTAGATGTACCCTAAATGAGGGAGAATTTATTTCCATTCTAAAGGTTGTCTCTGCAACTCTTCTTCAAAGCAACACAATATTTCAACAAAGTTTAAGACCGGCTAGTACCTTAACTAGGGCACTGAAATGTCACAACAAACACAAAGACTGACAATACTTTAACCATATCTGCATGGTACATGTCAATAGGTCTGATTCTATCCTTATCGATAGGAATGCTGAGCTTATCTCCTTTCACAGAATACAAGTAAAATGCCTCCTGGAAAAGCAAACCTAAGAGTAGTATATACAAAATCTTAATGGTTGTAGATTTCTATTCAGGACTTTGGAACCACAAGAAATAATTTCTGTAATTGCATTGCTCAGGCACTTTGCTCATGGTTTATCTGCCTACATCAAAAGGAAATATTTGAGAAAATATTACATGAAATAGCAACCTGGAATGTAGATCAATGAAGAACAGAAGACAGGGGATGAAATATTGGTGCAGACTTAATTCATTAGGAAAGTCCCCATTCTTAACCAGCTAACACAACCTAAGTGCATTGATTCTAAAGCTGAACCATTTAAGAAAGAAATCAATCATCTCTGAAAACAGTAGAATTGTTTGACTGTCTACCACAGGTGCAGGAGAAATCCTTTAACATTTTTTCTCTTCTTGTCATCCTTATTTTTCATACTTTGCCTCATATTTTCTAGTCAAAGAAGGAAAGTTCAGATATCTCCTGTTTCATAATTACAGTGTAGGTTTTATAGCTCAGATGCTTAAAAGGTATCAGGATCATTTGATAGAATATTATTATTAAGAGAACTCAGGAAGCATTCTGATTCACTTTCCTTTAGGATCTAATCTACATTTATTAGAAATTTCTCAAGTAAAGGTCTTCTGAGTGGAAACTGTTGACAAAGTTTCCAAAATGACAGAGCAAAGAAATAATTCTGTAATTATTATGTACAACTGTTGTATTCTTACCATTATTGTTATGCTACTCTGATCTTTCTTAGACAGGAGAAAAGATACAATTCTGAAGAAACTCAGCGTATTTTTAAAGTGAATGATTTAAAGCAGTGGTTCTTAAAATCTGGCCCTCAAACTATTTTGGACTTCAGCTTCCAGAACTTCCAATCGTTTGCCAATAGTAAGGAATCCAGGGAGCTCAGATCTATAACAGCTGGAAGACCAATGTTTGGGAGGCATTGATTTAAACAATAGACTTTTCAAATAAACTGAAAAGGTAATTCTTTGATCAATCATGAAACTCAGGCTCCCTTGAAAGGAAAAAAAAAGGAAAGCATCCCAGGAAGGGTGCTTTCTTAACCTCATTGCTGAAACTCAGGCTCCCTTGAAGGGAAAAAAAGAAAGGATCCCAGGAAGGATGTTTTCTTAATCCCATTGCTGAAACCCTAGCTCCCTTGAAGGGAAAAAAGGAAAGGATCCCAGGAACAAAAATGGGAGCCTCATAAGTTCTTCATTGCCACCAATGAGCCAGATCTAGCCTCATTTTTTGGTTGCTGACCTAAAACGGCTATCCAGCTAGCCACCCATATTTGGGAGGTGTGCAAAAATGGATATGGGCATCTACCAGAATCTGGCCAGCAGAAACAGACTGAGGTTCAGCTGAAATTCACAAGCCTAAGCTATAGCTCAAAATGATCTGATTTTAGCTAGGGAAGCAAGATGCAACAAAAGGATACTAGAAAATGGCAAAAGAAATGATGGGATCGTAGCTCAGAAAGGATGGAGTTTGGAGAAGGGCAATGGAGATGGTAAGTGGTATAGCGAACAAAACATTAAGGGGATGTTGAAGAAACTGGACATATTTGGCTTGGTGAAGAAAAGACTGATGAATGACATGCTCAATTTTTTTAAATATGTCAAAGGTATCCACAAAGAAGCAGATGAAGGGTTGTTTTTTCCTTCCTCAGAGGATAGAACTAGGTCTAATGGGTTTGAATCAGTTTAGATTTTGATTAAAGATTAGAAGGAAGCTAATTTTATTGTTCAGCAATAAAACCAATTGTTTAGAAAGGTGGTAAAATCTCTGTAAGTGCCTTCAAAAAGAGGCTGAAGATCCTGCATTGAGCAGAAGTATGGACCTGGTGGGCCCCTTCCAACCCTATGATTCTATGACTGGGTCTGGTGAACTGGTAAACTATGAACAATATTCTAGACCAGGCATGGACAAGCTTCCACCCTCCAAGTGTTTTGGACTTCAACTTCCACAATTCCTAATAGCCAGTAAATTGTCTGGGATTTCTGGGAGTTGAAGTTAAAAACACCTGGAGGGCTGAAGTTTGCCCATGTGTGTTCTAGACAGACTATTTCTTCTTAATATCTAATTGTCTACACACAAATGGGATATTTAAATAAGAACGCACATCTTAGAGAAACACCACACCTGCCATGAGATGGATGCACCATCAGTACTACCATGAAATCTACATAACAGTTATTATGAAATGTTTTCCATTTTTTCAATTCTTGGCTTTTTCGAGGTTGACTTATCTCTGAATTGCTTTCAGAATGCCAAGATAATATTCTATAAAGATTTAATAAGACATAATGAGAAACTGAATTTTACGACGCATGCTTCCAAAGCCCTTTTCTCCAGTTAACACTGGGACTTTTTTGGTAAAAGAAAATCCTGTTGGCTCTGAACATAACTAAATGGTGATTCATTTTACAATGTCAGATTTATCTAAGCAAGAGTCATTTATTTAAATCTTTCTACTCCTGGGGTACATATACACGCAAAACAATGCTTTCTGGTATTTACGTATTTATGAACCTTTGAGAACCATAGCAGAACTAATTTGGCACATTACCTTCTTGTCGTTACTTTTAGAAGACAAGTTGGGAATACCAACAGCATTTTGTATTAGAGGGCTCCTTGCTTAGCATCTGGAGCCCATATTCAGCAGTGAAATACAACTTGAATGCCTGAGAATGTGCTTCTGCACACCACTACATTTAACATGGTGGAATGTAGGAAAGGAGAAGGAATAGAGAGAGAAGAAAGAGAAAAGTCAACAAGCGCACATTAATTTTAGATTCTTTCAAACAATTGCATGCTCTCTTTCAATGCGAAGTTCCTCCAAAATGACTGTCTTCAAAGGTAATTCTGCAAAAAACAACAAAAATATCCATTCTGCTTTCAGTGCAGATAAACATTCACCACAAACAAGTTTTTTGTGTTTTTAAAAAAGCCCTCTTTTTTTTCTTCCATGGCAGAATTTCACAGTGTGCTCAAATACCAGGACGAAATTGTACTAAGCTCTGAATGGTCAGAGATCCATTTTGAGCTGATAAAGAATAATTATGAATATTCTTTTTATCCTGAAGCAGAATGTCTTGTGAGTGCTAAGCAGGGAGGAACCACCTCTTTCGAGGTCTTCTGATAAAGCTTTTCCTGTCAACATTAGTACCTATTTTGATCCTGATCATAATATTTTATTTCAAATTCGGTCCCTTTTTGTTTTTGTGCGTATGTGTCTGTTTTCATACCATCATTTTTAAAATTACAATCTTTCTGCTTTCTTCCAAAGTTCTTTCCATCTTTTTATGTGTGCGATGCATAAAAAATTCATCTTGAATTAATTCCTTTTTATTTTAAGTCACATTTCTTATTTCTTTGTCTGTCCACATATTTTATCATTGCTCCATTTTATCTGACTCTGTGTAGAGATCTTCAGTTCATCTGTTTTCCCTTTGTATGTGTGTGTGCATATGGCCTGTGCGATCAATGAAAAAAATTACTAAATTAGGAACAGGCAGAAATTAATTTCTAAAGTGTTTCTAAAATATCGTATGGGTCAGTATTATATTATTATATCACTGGACCCCACTCAATTGGACAACTATCAGCCTGTTTCCAATCTCCCCGTTTTCGGCAAAGTCCTGGAATGTGTGGTGGCTTCTCAACTACAGCTATTCTCGGAAGACATGGATTATCTGGACTTGGCACAGTCTGGTTTTAGGCCAAGACATGGTACAGATGACGTCCAACTCTGTCACTCCTTTCCACCTGCTACTACGGAGGCTGTCCAGGTCCTGAACCGGTGCTTGGCCGCTGTGACGGTCTGGATGAGGGCGAACAAATTGAAACTGAATCTAGACAAGACAGAGGTCCTCCTGGTCAGTCGAAAGGCTGAACAGGGTATAGGTTACAACCTGTGTTGGATGGGGTCACACTCCCCCTGAAGATGCAGGTTCGCAGTTTGGGAGTAATCCTGGACTCATCACTGAGCTTGAAACCCCAGGTCTCGGTGGTGGCTGGGAGAGCTTTTGCACAATTAAAAGTTGTGCGCCAGCTGCACCCGTTCCTTGGGAAGTCTGACTTGGCCACGGTGGTCCACGCTCTGGTTACATCTCGTATAGACTACTGCAATGCTCTCTACATGGCGTTGCCTTTGAAGACTGTTTGGAGGCTTCAAATGGTCCAAGGGGCGACAGCCAGGTTGCTAACAGGAGTGGTGCCCAGGGAGCATACAACTCCTCTGTTGTGCCAGCTCCACTGGCTGCCAATTTGCTACCGAGCAGTATTCAAAGTGCTGGCTTTAGCCTATAAAACCCTAAACGGTTCTGGCCCTGCTTACCTGTCCGAACGTATCTCTCCTTATGAACCCTCTAGGAATTTAAGATCTTCTAGGGAGGCCCTGCTCTCGGCCCTGCCATCTTTACAGGCTTGATTGGCGGGGACGAGGGATAGGGCCTTCTCAGCGGTGGCCCCTCGGTTGTGGAATGCCCTCCCCTGGGACATTAGATCAGCCCCCACCCTCTTAACATTTCACAAAAAAGTTAAAACTTGGCTATATGAGCAGGCCTTCCCAAACGCAGTGTAGCTATGAAACTCTGATCTCAGAACGGTTGGACAATGACTAATTAATGAAATGCGGAGGACTTATGGTTTTTTATTATGTTTATTGATGTTAATTGTAATGATTTTTTAAATCTATGTTAAATGTTTTTAATGTTTAAACTATTTTTGTACTGTTGTGGGCATCAAATTGTGCCGTTTTGTAAAATGCCATGAGTCGCCCTCAGGCTGAGAATAGCAGTATAGAAGCGTAGTAAATAAAATAAATAAATATCTATAATGAAGTAGTAAAATGTTCTTTACTTTTTTGTTATGAAACTATGCAGGTGGGGAAGCTTCTGGGGCTCCTTTCTCCCTCATTTTAGAGAGATCAGGATGAAACTTGCTATAATTGTAGGACAAGTTTACCACTGCCCCCCCCCCCAAAT